TTTGAAAGCATGACTCTGAATATTGCATGCACAACTATGTGTCAATTGGTACGGTCACTAGGTACCAGTGGGACAGTCTGAGTGATATAGCAGTTTCTCGAAATTTAATGTATCAACATGTTCAGCTCTGGATATCACTTTTGTCTCTCTCCCTGAGGGAGATATGCATGTAGGTGCAATATTTGTCTCTTGACATTTGCGGTGGTGAACTAGCCAAAATTTACATAAAGATAGGTGATCAGTCCTATCAAACACAAGGCCAAGCACTGCTGCCCTCACTTGACTGTGCTCCTGTATAACAGAAATCACAGTATTTCCCAGAATTAATCCCTGGAGGTATGTTTTTTTAGTTGTCATCTTCCAATGATCTGCAGAACCACTTAGAATTCACCTGTGGCTTGTAGTATGTAACATATAAACATGCTTTTCTCTGTTTTCTCACTGATCCCATGGGTTCCTAAGCACAGCTTGAAATCACTTGACTGGTTTTAGAAAAACATCAAATCTTGTCTTTCACATTTTTAGTGGTGAAGAGTATACAACTTTGATATTTCCATAGCTTTCCACACTGAAAAGTGTGCCTTGTACTTCTAACCTTAGTTTATCTCTCTCCAGCTTTCACTTTGATATGTCATTGTCCACTAGATGGAATAGTCTTCTAGAATCAATATCCTACCTCTGGGAGGTAGCTGTGACCCCTACGATTTTCTCCTAGATAAACTAAATGGCTTGCGATTTTTAAGCTTTTTCCTAAATGGCATGTTTCTCAATCTCTAACCAATTCTGTGGTTTTCCTCTAAGTGTTTTTCACTCTATTATGGTCCTTTCTAAGACTTTATTCACGGGAACTTGATGCAGCAGTCTAATAATAACAGAAGAGAGCAAAATGCCTCTACTCTAATTGATATTCCCTTTCTTAAATAAATATCCAAGAATCCCAGGGATAATGCAGAGAGATCTTGGGGTTTGCTACTTAATCACCATAACTCAGATGTTCTAAGGGGTGGACACAGAGTACATCTGTTCTCCATGGACAGACTGTATGACACTGGAGCATCTCCCAGCCAACAAATGATAACAGGGAAGGTTACAGCCCATTGACTTCCTCAGTAATCCACCCCTGTAATTTTTTTCTGCATCAGTGCTTTCTAGGATTGACTACTGTACCATTAACTGTGAACATATTTGGTCTGTATGCTCTCTCCATAGTCAGTCCCGAGAAACTGGACTTTCCAGACCACCACAGCATAACTGCCTAAAACCGCTGGGCTAGAGTGCCCTCTGATGGGTATCCAATTCTCTCCGTGAACAATGAGAACCTGTGTGACAGGCTTACACCAGACACTTTCAGAGGATTAAAACGAGGTCGGGTGGATGCCGCAGGCACTGGGCAGTGCTGTCATTGGCTATTTTGAAGCATGAGCTGCATAAGGACTCAGATTTACAGTTATACCCAGTATCTACATGTCTGTCTCCACATAACGCCATTTCTATAAATCATCCTATTACTTCTCCAAGGTTTTTGTCATCTTCAAAAGTCATGAGTAATGACTGCATTTTTCCCAGGTCATTGTTGAAAATGCAAATCAATGAAGTAAAAAATTAGCCTAAGTGGTGGTCTCTTAAAAAGAATTCATTTAACAATGTTTCCCTTTAACGTAAACTTTTTTAAACCTGTCATTTAACAAGCTTTGAAAACATTTAGTATCCATGACTTTCATTCCATATGATTCAAGTTGTGTGGTACCAAGTGGTACCTTATGAAAGTCATAATTTGATGCTATTCTGTTTGTAAACCAGATTTCCAAGTCAGTATGATAAGATTTTCCAGGTTGATTAATAATTATATTATTTTCCTTTTAATTTTTATTAATTGAGTTTCATATCAACTGTTAAGGGTTTTTTTATCAGGATCCCAGTTGGGCTGACAAATTTGTAATTACCTCTGTTATCACATTTATACATCAGTACGTCCTTTTGTGCAGTAACCATGGTTTGCTATAGGTCTTCCTACAGAAATCATCCAATGCTTTAAATTATCCTGAACCCTTAGAATACAGATTAGCCAATGTGCTAGAATGTTTGCCAGAAAGTAAAAAACCAGTCATATGCTTATAAAAATGTCTGAGCATAATCCAAATTTCTCACCCTTTGACAGGGGGTTTTGTTACACTTTATTATAAAGATGCTCTTTCAATTTTTATTGAGTTTAGTGATTTTTAAAGTGAACTGAGAAGCTGTAGCAACAGTGATTTAAGTGTAGGCCTTCTCAACAAAGGTTTATCACCACACGTCAGCCTTGCTGCTCTGTCCCAAAATCTTTCTCTACTCCTCTACATCAAATTGAAAAATCTGGGATTTTTTGATACTGGGTGCAAAATAATTATCTGTAGTTCATAGGGCTAGGCCTCTATTTTGGACCCCACAGTAATATTCCATGGCTGTTTTTCTGACCTGAAAAAAATACTTATCTCTTCTGCTACAAAAATATATTTTGCTTTAGAACAAAGAATGGCACCATCCCATTCTTTCACAGGGAAGAACAGAAATGTTCCATGAGCATATGGTAGGAGTTATACACAGTTCCTCTTGATATATATCAAAGCCATTGGTGGTAGAATCCACTTGCCTGTTTTCATCACTGTCTAGTTTATGAGGCCTCATGCTGTTCTGCTTGAGAATTCTCTAAGCAACAGAGAAAGTTGCAGAAACACGAATTTCATCTTATGCACCACAACACTATGTACTCTTAAAAAAAAAAATAGTGCTGAGGAAACCTCAGTTCTGTGCCCTGGTCAGCTTGAGGAAGTTTAAACTTCTAGTCTTTATTAAGCCAGGGAGCACAGCAGTCAAACATCTGTGGAATACTTAAGGCAAAAGCCTGTTCCACTCATGTCAAAGCTGGACCTGTGCAGTCAGGAAGGCATAGGGCCAGATAGACTTTAGTTCCAGACAAGCTCTTAGGAAGACATATTATACAATAAAATTTATATAGATGAACCTGGGTACAGAAAGAGAAACAGTCTTGGAAACAGTGCCCTTTCTTGACTGAATTATGCAACTGCTCAGATAATGTCAAAACACCTTTTGTCTGACTTTTTGGTGGAAGGTAATCTGTCCTTTCTCTTCCTCTTCCACCTTAAAATGGCTACTCACCCGAAGACAACCAGTTATGGATTCTAGCATCTCGAGTCTAAGACAGAAGGAAGGCCTGAGGACAATAAGTAAAGCACAACTTCATCACGAGGTTGTAGTAAAGGTCAGGATATTGACCACTTTCTTTTATGTTAAAAGGTACTTGCACTCAGAATAGAGCTAAGGAGATGGGATTCTATTGGCATTTTCTGCCAGTTCCTTGTAAGGCAACTGGAAAGAGGCAGACTTACTGACTGGATGAACAAAAGACATCTCTGGAGCTCCCCCATCCTCATTTGGTCTATGTCCTCTATTTGATTTTCTGTTTCTATTACAATGATTGAATTGACCACCTTCCCTTTGTTTGCCCAGTTCCCCCCTGAAATGGGCACCTAAAATGTAGGCACATCTGCTCACAAATGAAGGACAGTTGGAGCCTTTCCATTATCTACCACATGGGAGCAGGATTAGGTTCGCTGTCAGTTTTGGGGAACATGAAAGGGATAAAGAAGCATGAATTATGCATAACAGAATTGCGCCCTACTGGTTTCTTAAGACATACAAGATGTTTCAGTCCCATTGTCATCCTAACATACTCTCAGAGAAAATGCTTCACACAGCCAGAGGCAGTTCTCAGAGTGTAGCAAGACTCATCCAAGACTCCTGGTATAGCATCGTATTGCCATTCCTCTTCTGCTAATGAGGTATGTTTCATGTTGTTAAAGGTCTGGCAGCATGTTACAGTTTGCTAGACTGGCTGAGACTATATGAAATGTCTCAAGAAATAAAGTGAGTAGGGAAGGATTAATTAGAGAACTGTTAAAAAACCTGAGTGGTTTTTTTTTCTGCATCTTCCTTTTGATTATTTTCATTGCAGCTAATGGAAGGAAAGAGAGTATTAAACTAGCAATCTGATCACAACCCTCACATACCTTTGGTTTAGACCCAAAGTCTTCCAGGCAGTAATACAATCTTTTAATATCAGACCTAATTGAATGAGAGTCTAAATTAGTAGGAATTACCTTTTTATGAAAGATTTTTGACAGTACTTGGCATGACACAAGAGCCCATGTATTTCTCCCAGGACAACTGCGGGTTATCCAATTTTCCTACTAAGTCTCCTCACCCGCCCTGGTGCAGTTCGGTGGTTTGAGTCATTCAGCCCAGAGACGACTTTTACGTGGCCACCGCGGGGCCGAGCGTGACGGGACCCTCGGGTACGCGGCCTCTTTGCTGTCGGGGAGCCCCTGGCACACGGCTCCCACCGCACCCACCCGCCGGGAATCCGGCGTTCGCACCACCCCTCCTGCCACTCTTTGGCAGGAGTGGGGACGGCGTGGCCAGTAGCTCAGGGAGGGCCCGGGCACCGCTCCCGCCCCCTTCCCCCGGGCCGCCTCTCCCCCGCAGCCCCCGGCGCGGAGCGCGGGGCTCCCGCCGCTCCAGACCCCGGCGGCGGCTCCTGCCGGGCGGAGCGGGGCTGGGCGGTGCGAGGCGGCGGGCGCAGCCCCGCAGCGGCAGCTCCCGCCTGCCACTGGGGCACGGCCGTGCGGGCCGAGGGGAGGGGGCGGCGGACCCGGCCCGGCCGCTCCGCACCTCCGCCGAGTTTGGCCGGCCCAGAAGGGCAGCCAAAAGTTCAGCATGCAGGAAGTTTGGAGGCAGCTCGGAGAGTAGCGCGTCGGCGGCGACTGCTGCTTCCCGTGCTGTGGGGTTTTGCTTTTTTTGCGGGGATTGTGCCATTCCCCCTCCGCCCCTCCATCCCCCCACCCCCTCCCCAATACAACTCCCCCAAACACACAAGCAACTCGCAACAACCAAAAAGTCCGGCAAGAGGGAAAGAACACGAGCGAGGGAAGAACCCTCGGCGGGAGAGCCCGTTTCTTCTCAGAGACACGGTCCCGCTCGCAGCTGGTCCCAATGCAACTGCTCATCCTCCTCCTGCTCTACGCCGTCGTCTGTGCGAACTTTTGCAGCCGTCAGGGGACCACCGCCCCTGCCCAGAGCGGATCTATAAAAGCCCTGCGGGCCTCCAACATCAGGCGAGATGGTAAGTGTCCTGCTGCTTTATTTGTTCCCAAGGATTGCATTTGTGGAGGGAGCCCTGAGCGAACCTCTAGGCTGCTGTTCTGTCCCGGGAACGGGGGCCGCATCCCCAGGGGAGGACGGGGGTCTGTCTGGGTGGAAGTCCCGTCCCCGAGGGGTCAGCCGGGGGCATGGGGGGCAGTCCCTGAAGTCTGGTCCCTGGAGACTGGTCCGGGAGCGTGTGGCCAGGTGGCAGCAGGGACGTGTGTGGACTGAGGGGGCGGCTCTGCCCAGCGACTGAACCTCCGGGCGGTCCCAAACTTCTCAGGGCAACTTCGAGGAGGTCTCCTGGGAGTCGGTGGTGCCGTCAGCGTCCCCTCCGGTCTGCGGCCGGCACCTCGCTCCTGACAACCATCGGGACCGTGTCCCCCGTGTGACTGTGATGTGCCGACGGCGGGGGCAATGCCGGGCAAACGGCGGGTTTGTGGCGGGAGTGTGGGTGGTGGGCGAAGCCGTCGCCTCAGGGCTTCTTAGGGGAAGTGGGGCTCCTCTCCCAGCCCCCCCCTCCCACCCGCAGCCGTCGCCGCGTTTGGCTCCTGTAAGGGCTGTCGGGTGGGAGACTGCCTCGACTGGAGGGTCCCAGGGCTCGGGGTTCCCCTGGGTCTGCTGGGCAAGCAATGCCTCGCCGGGACTGGCTTCGTCCCTTGTGATGCCCAGGGATGGTGAGCACCCTGCAGGGCGGCCGCGGGCTCTCGGATACTGCCCGCTCGGTAGGAAGGGTGGTGTCAGCTGGCGTATCTGAACCCTGGTGGTGTTCCCGCCGCTGCCAGCGGAGAATGCCCTGGACAGCCGAGATGCTGCCGAGGGTCCGCAGCACGGCTGAGTGGGACGCAGGTGCCTCGAGTGAAAGGGCAGCGTGGCCGCGTGCTGTGGCCCCATGGTGAATGAATGGGGAGGCTGCATAAAAATAGCTCTGCTGAGAATCTACCTCTGGAATCCACACCTTTCGCTTTGGGAAGAGTGATGAGCCTCTCACTGGGAAGCAGCCTGTTGTGTTCCAGCCTCACGTGGACCTGCTTTTGCACGTTGCTGTGTACCTTCTTACACAGCGAAATGCAAGATTTTGTCCCTGAAAATGAACAGAGTTAAGTTCAGTCTTCAAGTTAACATCTTTCAGTTGACAGAATTTATATTTTTTTATAAACCCTTTTCAAAAACCCAGTCACTTGACATTTCCAAGACTGTACTCTGTATTTACCAGTGCTTATTTTCCAGCATGTATACAATGCATGTAATGGGTATATAGTTGATTTAGGATGATGTCTGTTTCAACTTTGGAGCCATATTGAACCTAATAATCTTTTGTATGCATTTCTAACCACTGAAAGAAGGCATAGTGAATTGGGACAGTTTTTTTTCTTAGAATTGAGATATTGAGTCAAGAAACAAGACAGAATTGCAGTTCATTCTGTTACAGAAATCCAGTTAAATATCATTAAAATATATGTGTTATTAATATATGTGTTATTTCTGTTTCATCCTTTAAAACTATTATGTACCTTATCAAGCTTCATGACTTGTAAGCCTGCCATCTTAAACTTCGTAGAAGAATTGGGACCATCTCTGAAATAAACTGAACAAGTTTCCATTCAAGTCAAACTTCAAACAAGCTTCTTTATAGAAAACTGCAGTGATTTACTTAAAACATCAAAATGTGTTTTACTCTGATCTCCTCTGTGTAGTCAATGAAGAAATCATTAACCCCTAATATAAATAAAGTTTTCATCTTAATGGTAGTGTGACAGGTGTTTTACTCTGCAGAGGACTTCCTGTGGTGAAGTTGGTTCTTGGAGTGATGAAGAGAACAAGCTTCTGAAATTATTAGTTAGTTGCTCTCTTCCTAGTTGTGATCATTTAATGTTATGATTAGGCTTTACACCTTTAAAATTATCTGAGACAACTTGTAGTAGGTGAACTTCATGTGTACCAGTTGGGCGAATACTGAGGCTGCTGGCAGATCTATATGTAATTATATACTGCCTTTCATCTTTCCTGAGTTATGTGCTAGTGAGTCCTACAGCCTACAGAGGTAGTGAAACATGCCCATGCTGAAGTCAGACACCTCTGCAACTCTTTACTGGATAGCCATTTACTGAGGAGGGTAACAGACTTTTAGTCAGACCACATACAGCCCCTATCATGCCTTGCTCTTTCTCTGTGCTTGGGAATCTGCTTGATTTTTCTCTGTGAAGACTTTGTGTTCTGGTGTGGCCAGTGGAGCTGGGCATCAGGTCACAACATCCAAAGCAGATCAACTACTGATCCCCCTGATTTTACTCAAATGAACCAAACTGTTGCTCGAATTTCTTGACTAAAGGTCTGCATTTGTGCAGCCAAAGGTTATGAGTGGTATTCCAAATGTTGCATGCATGTGACGAGCTCACAAGCAGTGTTTAGACCATGGTTGGCTGTAGGCCACTAAAAGTATTTCTGTCTTTCATAATTTGAAGTGGTGTTTTTGCGTTGTTTTGGTCTGAAGCAATGATATGGAATAGCATTAAAGGCATGTCAGTTACATCACTGAATGAGATGGTATTTTTTGCTTTGTAAATATTTGCAGACATGACAATACAGAATAGGATCTAGGAGCACACAGTACACTGGGGATAAATATGTTCCAATAGTCTTTCTCAAAGCACATAGAAAGGATAAAAAGTAATTTAATAATATATCCTGGGTTGATGTTCATGATTATTATGTTGTGAAATTAAAAGAGATACTGAAGAGGAAGCAAGGCCTGTTCAGCTTTTTAAAAAACATTATATCTTGGCGAGTCCAAGACCACCTACACTTTTTATTAAAAAAGAAAACAATCCTTTGGATTCTATTTTTCTGTTATTTCCAAGCAGGATAAACTAGTGAGACTGCATACATGGAGCTTTAATATGGAGACTTGGTCTTGCTTTCAACCAAAGTAAACCTTTGCACTCTGCGCGATTTGATATTGTCTTTCTTATTTCAGACTAAAAGAGGTTGGCCTATTTGTCATTGCTCTTACTTAAGACTGCTGATAAGAAATCTGTAGATGAGGGCAGCACATACAAAAACTGCCATTTAATGGCTACCAAACCTAACCAGACTGTAATTTCTGCTGAAGATATTAAGAATATAAATAACCTGCTTACAAGACATCCTCTTGTCCCAGTGGAAGGACGGGCATTGATGACTCAGCAGTCCAGCGTAGCACTAATCAATTTTTTTAAGTGTCCTGGAAATGCCAGCAACACTTATAGCACAAGTAGTGATATTCACTTAAAGTGTTTATTTATGCTGTTAAGTCCTTTGAAGTTCATCGGAATAACAAACAGAGAGGTCTTCCAGATGCTTCCATTTTTCTCTTTTGACTTATTTTCCCAGTTTGCAGTATGCAGGTAATACCATATAATTACAAGAAGTCTTATATTTTGTTTCTCCTATTTTGGTTGTTTATGTATACTTGGAGATGAAAAGTGGGAGATAAAAAGTACTTATTTACTCTATAATGTCTAACTGAAACATCATTTGCTCTTTTTTATCTGTTATTGAACAAACATTCACTTAGTCTAGGAAAGTATTCCTAGTCCATATCTTCAGACTAAGCATCACTATATATATTTTAAACTTTAAACTCAAAAGTTTAAAGAAAAAGTAGACCAAACCAGACAGCATAGTGTCAAATCATTTCAGTATGTAAACAACTGAAAGCCATGGAATCAGTATCTTCTGATGTGGGTTTGAAACCATAACATCAGATGACTCAAGATAAGACTCTGTGCTGTTGTGGTTTTCATTAGGAACAAAAAAAAATAAAAAAGGAATTTCCAAAGTTTGATTTGCTTGTGCACCACCAAAATACAAAGAAAAATCGTGCTTTATAATTCTGGGAAACTGCCAACAGCTTTTGGCTCTTTCATGGCCAGTACAAATGGATGTGTGCCATTAACTCTACCCTCTTCTTCCCTGCTTTGGCCTGTGCTTAATCATGAGGAAAAGTATTCGGTGATTTAGTCAGTATTCTCTCACCAAACAGGCGTCAGGAGTCTGATCTTGGGAGAAGATACAATTGTGTTGTTTTCTGGGTTTTGTTTGTTTTGTTGTTTGGTTTTTTTTTTAGATTAAGTGTGGAACAAGTTGATATTAAACATCCCTCCAATCCAAGATGTTCTATGATTCTATGATTTCATGATACTGGGAGAAATTCTTTACTGTGAGGGTGGTGAGGCACTGGCACAGGTTGCCCAGAGAGGCCTGCTCAAGGCCAGGTTGGATTGGGCTCTGAGAACCTTGTGTAGTGGAAGGTGTCCCTGGTCATGGCAGGGGAGTTGGAACTAGATGATCTTTAAGGTCGCTTTCAACCCAAACTATTCCATGATTCTATGGTTTTGTGTTTTCGTGTTTCCATGATTCTATGAAATGTCTCTGGTATTACTAGTGATATAGGAACCTCGGGTTTGGAACACACTTACTGAATTCTTTTATAATAGACTTGTATACATTTTTTAAAGGACTCTAGTAACATAAAATTGTGTCAACTGTAAAATGGATAGAATAAATTTGGTTTTATAGGCTTTATATCCCCAATTTCGTAGATTTTGTATAAAAATGTGTCTTTTAGGCTTCATCACTTATTTTTAAAAAAACCTTAATAATTTCCCTGTAGTAATACACTTTGGTCTACAATTGTTTAATTGTTGATGTCTCTTATCTATATAATTAACAGTTTGGACTGAAGTATCAGAGGATATTGCATGAGAATTCCAACCCTGACTCAGCAGCAAGAAGCATGTAGGAATTCTTCAAAGGAACTTGAAATGTGTTTTATCAGACAGATGTATATCATACGGTGAAAGTCACTATAAACTCCCCGGCCAGTCTCTCAAAACATCGTGGGTGTTTTTTGGTGTGGTGTTATTTTTGTTTAGTTGGTTGGTTGGTTTTTTGTTTGGTTTGATTTGGGTTTTGGTTTTTTGTTTATTTTGTTTTGTT